GTACCGGTGTTGCCACCGCCGGTGCTGCAACCACTGAACCAGCCATATCGCATATGCGTAAAGTGCTGGAACACCATGTGCTTGCCAGCCGCGCTGTAACGCGCCCAGCAGCACGCCCGTGGGGCTGACGATGTCGCCGCTTCAAAGGCCAGGCATCCGCCCGACTTACTACCTCACGGCCCTCACCGACACCGCTCTCGCGACCATCCCCCCGCCGCCTTTGTTTCTCATTGATCAGGCCATGGAGAGCTACAGGGTTGACAGGGTCCATGCCAACCTGCTGTACATCAGATATGACTCGCCGAGCCACCCCAGCTCGCCCGCCAAGGGGATGCTGGCGGGTGATTATGATCAGGTGCATGGGCCGTCCCAGGGCGCTCGCGCCCATGCGGCCCGGGCGAGTGCGCAAACGGACGAGAGCGCGAGCTGCCTGCAGGCTTGGAAACTCCCTGGGGCCGCAGCCCTTTGGCGAGTTGACTCGGCCGGCGGCTTGATGTCTGTCTTGTTTCGTAATAACCGTCAGGCAAGGCACAGTGCTCAGGCCTGTTTGAGCGGCGACAGCCCTCACCCGCCATCCCCTCCTCGAACGGTCGCTACAAGCGCAGGATCCCCCAGAGTTCATCACCAACACGTACGCCATCAGCTCCGCCGCGCATGCCGGCGTCGAGCTTGACGGGGAGGTCGTGGAGCACACGGTAGGCCGGGGCTGCATGGTGCTGCAGACTGCAGGGTGCTGGTTGCCTGTCAGGGGTGGGGGGCGTGAAAGGAAATGCAAGAAACGACGCTCCAGGAACAATGACAGCTGTACAATCGCGCGCATGCAGTGACCAAAGCCTTGAGCGTTGAGCCTTGCTTGCTGCTGTGAATCGATTTAAGTACAGACTGTACGCGCGCTCACAGCCGCCCTGCGCCGCTCTCTCGCACACAACCCAGGACATCGTGGATAAGCAGCCCCGGGCGCCGCAGGCGGAGCAGCGGCTGCTGGAGGTCGCCGGCGGCGCCCTCAGCACTGGCAGGTCGCAAGAGAACGGTGAGCAGCTGCCTGGTGGCGTGTTGAGCGCCACAACCTTTGATGCACTGCTGAATTGCGCACGGGCCAAATTCAGCAGATTGTGCTCTGTCATTTCAATCGACGCCGCCCATTCGTTCACGCCTGATTGTCCCATTCCCCTGTACGCAGGATGCGTGCACAGCAGCGCGGAGGCTGCGGTGTCCGCCTGCAAGCTGGCCAAGTTTGAAGACGCGGCCGAGAAGTGCGCGCGTGCCGTGTCGCAGCCGCGGGACCCGCCGCTCAAACCAGCTATGCAGGCCACAGGACCAACTGCTGTATACGAAGCAACGTGCCCATGCCGCCGCTTTTCTCCAGGCGCTGCTCATCATCTCTGCCCTACCCACCCCACCTTGTCACGTGTTCCCACGCCCGCACCACGCTCAAACGGTCTGCCCACTCAATCTGCCAGGTACAAGATGATTGCGAACCCTGAAGACGGCTCCCTGACGGTGACCGTCTATGGTAAAGATGTGCGCCTCCGCCACTCCTACGCGGATGAGCTGCACCGCACCACCATAGACCACCCAAGGTGAGGCACAGGGCTGGGTCGCCCAAGCCTTCCCTGCATTGCACTGAGGGGTGGGGCCCTGCAGGACTGCGCAAGCCTGAGAAGCCTTGCATGGCCCAGCCCCCTGCGTCAACGGGGCCTTCAGCCGCGGCCGCGAGGGGCCCGCGATGCGTTGGGGGCGCTCGTGCTGCCCCGCATCGGCGCCTGCTGATCGCAAGCCGCAAGAGGGCCTCTGCGCCCCAAAAGGCTCAGGTGCTAACCGAGAGCCATCTTCCCTTGCTGCACCTCTCACCTCTGCCTTTGCACCACCCCGCACCAATCAAACACCCCCAGGTTCTCGGCACTGGTGTGGGGCAGGGAGGGGGAGCTGGTCCGTGGGGAGGTTGTTCCTGAGGGCACCGCCGCCGACCGCATGTTTGTGGTGGTGGATTTCCTGTGCTGCATGCACGCGCTGGACGTGCTGCGGTCTGCCCTGGGCCCGGACGCCGCAAGGATGCCCACAGGGCTCTCGCAAGAGCTGGTGGAGGTGCGCACGCGCCTTTGCCACACCTGCCTGCCTGCCTGCCTGCCTGCCTGCCTGCCTGCCTGCCTGCCTGCCTGCCTGCCTGCCTGCCTGCCTGCCTGCCTGCCTGCCTGCCTGCCTGCCTGCCTGCCTGCCTGCGTGCTGGCCACGGCTGCTGGGCACGGATGGGCGGGGCGGCCTTGTAGGTGCCTTGACCCCTGGCGCGAGCCTCATCGGGCGACCCCCTCAACCCCGCTTATCTCTTCTCGGATTGCCTGAGCAGCGAGCTGCCTCGCCCGAAAACCTCTTCCAGAACCGACGTTCTTCCACCTTGCCTTTGAAACCAATCACCACTATCGCGCTCCGACCACCGCAGGCGCTGCGGGGCCTGCAGTCGCTAAGCCAAGACGAGACACCTGCGAGCGGCGCCAGCACCCCCCGGGGCGCGACTGCCGCCGCCGACAAGCGCCCGCAGATGGCCACCAGGGTGAGTGTCCACTGGGTGGGTAGGGGTGCCGAATGTCACCATGCCGGGAATGAGGCCCTAAGCTGCCTGCTTGCTTGCAGCACATTTTTGCCGCTAGCTGCTGCTGTTGCGGCTGCCGCTTCTGCTGCACTGAGCAGTGAGGTGGCAGGGCATGCTTAGTGTTTCAATGCACACCAAGATAAGCCGCTGGCTCTTACTGTGACGCGGTCCGCAAGGCCTCAGGGGTCATGCAAGCCGGCCCACGACGTTCGCGCAGCGCATCAGCATGCAGGCCAAACCTCAATCTGACCGATTGCGCGCTGCCGTTACCGCCTTGATTGCACAGGAGTGCGTGGCGGCGATCGGTCCCCTCCCCCAGCAGCCGGCGCACGGGGCCATGCCGTCACAGAGTGAGGCCGGACCCTCGGAGCCGCTGCCTGCTATCTTCACCGGTAGCTGGGCGGACGCGATGTCCGAGGAGGATGAGGAACATGGGAGGGAGGTGTTCTCAGTCAAGAGGCAGCGGCAGCAGCAGCAGCAGCAGCAAAGGCAGCAGCAGCCGCCCCCGCGGCTGGCGAGCGGGCCTGACCGCTGGCCAGGGCAGCGCGTTCACACGTATGCAAGCGGGGGGCCCCAAGACAGCCGCGACGGCGGCCGCGGCCGCGCCTGCCACAACCAGCAGCCGTGCTTCCAGCAGCAGCAGCAGCACCGGCACCAGCGGCAGCGGCACCAGCAGCAGCATCATCAGCAGCATCATCAGCAGCATCATCATCAGCAGCAGCAGCACCAGCAGCAGCACCAGCAGCAGCACCAGCATCGCCGCCAGCAGGCCTCTGCACGGCCCTGGCAGCAGCAGTGGGAGCGGGCCGCAGCGTCGCGACAGGCGGCCAGCTACGCATCCGGGAGCAGCCTCGCACCTCTGCAGCGCCCATGCCCATGGCTCCGCCGCTCAGCCGTGGGGGTTGGTCCGCGCAGGAGCCGACTCCAGTGGCCGTAGCCTCCCGCGGCGACAGGTGGTGGAGGCAATGTTAAGACGCAGCCGGCTTGGGCGGACCCCTTTGCCCCACCCTTCCGTTGTGTACTCGCAGGTCACCAGCAAGGCCAGGCTGCGATCCGCCCTTTTGCCTGCCGCCCTGTGTGTAAGAATCATGAACCCACAGGATGGAGCCAGGGGCCACCGCGTCACCCCCTTGCGCGCGCGTCCAGACCTCCCCACGACTGTTTTCTTGGCCGCTGCGAATCGACCCCCCTATGGGGCACGGCACCTGCTGCTCAGCCTTGACGTAAAACGCGAGGGTTGCAGACCGCCACCCTGTTGCATGAGTTCCTCCCGCTGTTTGGTGGGCAGCCCGTTCGCCGCAAGGCGGAGGGGATGCGCTGGCGCGCCGAATTGTTACAACCCAACAGACAGGCCCCACACTCACAACTGGGGGTTGCGTTGCCCGCGCCAGCAGCGAGGGCAGATGCCCGGCCGTTGTGACACATCGCACGGCCAACCAAATGTGCCCCCTGCTGTGACCTTGCTGGTTGTCCCTTGGGAGTTTATACTGCTGGGACTGGCTGGGATGGGCGCACCTGGCTCTGTGCTTGGCATCACATGTTTCGCATTCTGTGGCAACCAGGGGTGTCGTCGCTCTTTGGCGCGGGTCAGCCTGGCATATGCAGATTTGACTGTTGTGACGGGTGACATCTGGTGCTGTGACTCGTTTCCCGACATCTCCTGCACTAGTAGAGTAGCAGCTTGCAGATTACGCTCTGCAAACAACGATCCCCAAGTGTGTCTTGCTTGCATTGTCCTGAGCACGTGCTTTTGCTGGTCGACATACGCACCACTCAGTGCTGTTACAGGCCAAGGCATGGATCTCACCAGGCAACTACAAAAACATGGCAGCATAACAAGATGCCACTGCCAGCGTGGTCCATGAGGCCTCAGGGTTTAGCAAAACACTGGGGAGCATGGGCGCTTCAGGGCTACACGCTCGCGTCAGGGCCCCACGGGGCATGCAGTGACTGCCGGGTGGGGACAGCCAAGGAAGGAGTCAGTGTTGCACGAGGTTTGCCGCAAGAAAATGGGTTGCGGTTTCGCCGATTGGTGCTGGTGCTGGTGCTGGTGCTGCTGCTGCTGCTGCTGCTGCTGCTGCTGCTGCTGCTGCTGCTGCTGCTGCTGCTGCTGCTGCTGCTGCTGCTGCTGCTGCTGGTGATTCTGGTGAGAGGCGACCAAATATAATCTGCAGTGGGGGCTTGGTTCGGTTGGCTGCAACCCACTGAAGTACCTTAAAGTCGCGTTGTGCCGCTGCTGTTTAGGCTCGCTTGGGCATCGCGCCTGTGCAGAATGCAATGCTGCTACAGTACGCGATTGCGGCAGCCGTCCACCCCCAAACAGGGATTTCGCAGGCGCTATTGCCTTGATTGCCAATGGTACCTTGGTTGAAATTGTTGAGATTCAGGACTCAAGTAAAGAATTGGAAGTTGCTGGGATGCTGTGATTGCTGCCGCAAGTCTGCTTGGGTTTGCGCAAATTTTCTCAAGGTCTCAAATAGACTGCACAGGCTGTCTGGAGCTTAGTGCTACGCGCCAGCCCCATCACGTGTCAACGCACGCATCTGCCCCGCAGCTGTACTGGCTTGTTGCGCGGTCATGCCGACCAGTACCATCACCCATTTGCACCTCATTGAGCGCCGGTACTCAAGAGCGTTGCAGGCAATGCGGCACGGCACAACCTGTGGCTCACCGCCGACAGGGCAAAGGCGCTCCCCTCCAGCACGAGCAGCCGAAGCCCAGCTGCCTGCTGAGGGCTTCAGGGTCGAGCTTCCTGCTGACACATGGCCTGGCCACCGCGTGAGCCTGGTCTTCAGGACACACTCATATAACCACAATAGCATTTCAATGTCTATGATATACAACCCCGCTCAACAAATGTGATCTGGATTCAAGCGGTGGTAGATGGAGACGCCAGATGGGGACCAGGAAAGCGGGCCACAGGTACCGGGGATACTGTCAGCGGATCCTATGGAAGAGGAGGAGGATGACATGGACTTCGTGGTGGAAGAGCTGGCCGATACGGACGAGGAGGATGACGATGAGCCATCCGAAGAAGCCTCTGACAGCGGTTCAGACCTAGCCTACGAGCCCGAGAGTAAGTCGGCACGATCGGAAGCTCTGCGCCGTTCGCCCCATTCAGGCGCCCTTCGCCTTGAGCCCATGCGGCACCGCGAGCGCCGCCTTTTGTGACTGCTGCGCGGCTGGTGGGGTGTCATACAGGTGGTTGGCTGGAAGATGAGACCGACGACGCATCTGGCGTGCAGGGAAGCCTGCAGCTGAGCCACAACACGGGGGTGAGCAGCAGCAGGGGCAGCTCAAGCCCAGGGCAGCAAGCAGCTTCTTGACACCTTCCTGCCGCCTGATGCTGCTGCTGCTCCTTTCATGGGCGAGACTTCGGCCTGTCAACGCGTTGCGAATTGCTATGCGCATGCACGCTCACTTGACTGACGCTGAACGGCATGCAGGGCTCTCGGCGCCTGCGGGCGAGGCGGCGGGCGGCCGTCCAACAAACGCAGCAGCAGCAGCAGCAGCAGCAGCAGCAGCAGCAGCAGCAGCAGCAGCAGCAGCGGGACCTACAGCTCAGTCATGAACAAGAGCAGGGCCGCGCACACTCCCAGCTGCAGACGCAGCAGCCGCCTCACGGCGTCGCAACGGCCCGCGCTGCGCTTTCCGCAGCGTGGGGCGAGCTGGTTGCTCCTGCCGGCGCTGCGGTGCCGCGGCCGCCGCCCGCTGCGGCGCCGCCGTCGGGCCCGCCAGCCCCAGGTGCCCCTATCGGTGCACCCGCCTTTATCGGTTCGCCCGGGGCGGGTGACGGCGTTGCCGCAGGGCGTGACGTGGCAGCTTATGCGGCGCCGCCTGGCACTCCGGGCGCGGGATCTACGATGGACCCGCCCTTGGCGCCAATGGCGGCACGCGAGCGAATGGGCCCGCCTGCGCCGCAGCCCTCGGCGCGCCAGCGGGCCCGGCAGCAGCAGCATCAGGCGGAAGGGGAGCACCCGTCGTTGGACGGCGGCGGCGGCAGCGTGCCGGCGCTGATGCTCGCAGCGCCATCGGGGGTAGGCGGCGGCGGCGGGGGCGCGTCGATCCTCAATCTGCTCTCGCCCGCGCGCGGCGGCGGGCTGGGTCCCCTTAACGCAGACGCCGACGGCGACGGTGCGCACCGCTGCGGCGCTTGTGATCCAGGCTGGCAGTTGTGGACGCACACCAAATCAAGACTCAACCATTTGCCCTTGGGAGGGCGCCGCCAGTACGTTCACAGGCACCCACGCCCCAGGGTCTGCAGACCGCATGCCCCCAGTGCCTGCCGTTGCATCAATCCAAGCCGTTGAAGTCACGCCCGCGTCACACTGCGGCATGATAATCGTCGAACCAACCCGCAGGGGCCGGGGATGAGGCAATCAGCCGGCGCACGCGCAGCAAGCGGCCGCTGGGGCCGTCGGTCGAGCTGGATCCATCAGAGCTCGACCGCCTGCTGGCCGCATTCGACCCCGATGTGCAGCCGCTGCTGGACGATGACGTGTACCGCCAGTTCCTGGAGGTACGGGTGACGTCGCCGGGTGATGTAACCGGGCGGGTGATGCCACCGGACGGAACGATGGCGTCACCCTGGTGATGCGGCCGGGTGGCGGCCGTCACAGGCCCGCGGCTGAGCGGTCCTGCGGGGGTGGCCCCAGGTGTCATGTTATGGTGGGGCCGCAGCGGCGACGGCAGGAAACAGCATTTTTGCCCGTCTGCGGCTTGCCGTCGGTCCCCCTGCGTTTGCTCTCAACTGCACACGCCGCGCGGCGGGCGCTCGTCCTTTTCGCAGACGCTGCAAGGCGGCGGGGGCAGCGCGCCGGCGGGTGACGAGGACGATGACGAGTTCCAGGTGGGGCCTGGGGACAGGCGGCCCAGCGCCTGTGCCCTGCATCACGTCTGCAGCTTGTAGCTGTCCGACAGCGTCACAAGCCGCAGCCCTGAGGCCCCACCGACACCTTTGGCTGGCCTTCTGCAACAGCAGCGTGGTTCTGGGCCGTCAGAGTGCAAGCAGCACTCTTTTGCCTCTATCTGACCGCGATTCCACCGACACGCGCGGGATTTGAACCATTGTTTGACCGCAGCTGGACCTGTCTGACCTGCTGGTGGAGGATGAACGTGACATCATGGTGTGCAGGGGGGCCTGAACAGACCAGGGGCAGGATTTAGGGTATGGAATCGAGGGAAGCGGGGCCCAAGATGCTTGCATGTGGGTGTGCATGCGTGCGCACGCGCAACTGTGTGTGTGTGTGTGTGTGTGTGTGTGTGTGTGTGAGAGTGAGTGTGTGTGTGTCTTTTTGTAGGGAATCGCAGGGCCAAACGTTGCGCCTCTTGTGGTACCCCAGGCTTTCCCGGGCTCTGGGGGTTCAGGTTACCACAGCGCAGCACCGCCCGCACGCACACCCAACCCGCTCCGCTGATCCTGTGCACTCGATGCGTGCATTACGATGCACGATGACTTATACAGGAAGAGGAGCTGATAGCGCAGCTGGTGCACCCCCCAGGCGCCACCTCAGCGCACGGCGCCCGCCACCACGGGCACCACCACCAACAGCAGCAGCAGCACCGAGATGCAGAAGCCCGCGGCAAAGACGCCGGCGGCGGCCGCGACGACGGGCAGCGGCGCGCCCGCGGCGGCCGCCGCGGCGGTGGGGGGGCGGCGGGCGGCGGCAAGCGTCCGCTGACGTCCCCAGAGCGCCCGGCC